CCTCGCCTTCCCACCTCCCTTTCTCCCATTCTGACTCATACTGAAATCCCAGTGAGCCTCCTCTGTCTCCCCCCTCCACCCCATCCCTCCACTCTCATTTGTGTTTTCTCTCCCTTTGATTGCCAAGCTGGCACGAATGCAATGAACAGGGCAAGAGAGAACGAGCAAATGAAGAAAAAAAAGATAGAGAGGGAGAGAGTAGCGGAGGGATGGAGACAGCGGAGGAGGAGGAGGAGGAGGAGGAGGAGGAGGGGAAGGAGGGAAAAACGTGCCCATAATGAGGATTCCGTCAAAGGAGGGGAGGAGGAGTGCGTGAGTGTGGTGGTGGTGGGGGTGTGTGTCGGAGTTAGATGGATGTTTGGAAAGAGTGGGTGGTTATTAGTGAAACCCCTCTCGCCCCCGCGTCGTTACGTCTCCGTGCTCTTCTCTCCTGCAAGATATGTGATATACCAAACCCACACTGCACACACATCAGCAACTCCACATCCACCCACACACACACACACACACACACACACACACACACACACACACACGCACACACACACACACACACACACACACACACACACACACACACACACACACACACACACACGCGCACCCAAGCAGAGACAGACACTGTGAACTCATATCTACTCAGAAACTTTAAATATGTGTGTAATGGCGCTTGTACTCCCTCAGTGACATGTGTTCCTCTGCCTCTGCAGCCAATGAAATAGCTCCAGATAAATGGACTTATACCTGAGATATACATGACAACATGATTCCCATGATCACATTAACAGAGCATCTGTGGCAAAGGAAAGATGCCTATACACAGGCTGTCATTTTGCTCAGTCACGTCGTCTCGTCTAATCCGCTGTAACTCCAACAGTGACTCATACAAAAACTTCACAACATTATGCCAAAGTCATATGGTGAATGTAATTAGCGGGCAATGCCAGCTGTGTGTGTGTGTGAGTGTGTTGCTGGGGGATGTCAGTGTTAGAGGGTTCCTCTTTTTGAGTTCAGTATGAGGACCGTTTTTCATTGCACATCACCAGGAATATTTTCAGTAGCATATGTGTCTATATTTATGTGTCGTACACCATGTCCTAATATTGTGTCAACTGTTTATACATTTCCCATTTAAAAAAGAAGCAGGAATCTCCACGTGTGTCTTGAATTCAGCTATAAGACAATACAGCTCACTACTGCTCACTGTGAGCCAGTCATTACAGACTCGTGTTGTGCAATCACTTTCATTTCACTGTGTTCCAAGCCTCGTCTCCTATATTACAAACACTCAGTTAAAGTGGACCTATCATGCTATATTTGAATAATATGGTGTAGGACCATACCTATACAAGGCATATTTATACTTTTTTTTTTTCAAAATACCAAACAGATCATGCATTTTAGCCATGCCTCATTTTGCTCAATTTGACATTTTTTAGCTCTGTTTTTGCAAGGGCAGATTCTGTGAGCAACAGCACCACCTACAGGCCTGGCATATGTACTACAGCGTCTCCAGCGCTTTCGAACAGCAATGGCCGTGGTTGTCTCCTTCTGATTGGTGGAGTTGGCCCAATAGCCGTAGCGCCACTGTCCTGACGTCAGGACAGTGTTCAAATCTGGATCAGTTTTTATCAGATCCGTTGCAGCCCCTTTTTTAGAGATTTGGGTATGGAGGAAAATAGAGAGGGTTGTGTTTTCTGACACTTGGTGAGTTCCCTGGAACACCGGGGACACATATTCATGTATAAAAGACGTACAAAAGTGCATTTTGCATGATAGGTCCCCTTTAAAGCATGTAGCCCCTCTCATAAAGGCCTGTCTAACTGGTTTAAGAATTTGGCCCCATATCAGTGGAGGCTACCTTTGAATGCACCATTCTTGGAGTAAAGTTTGTTCAGATGCTCAGAACTTTATAGCAAGGGTCCAAACCGAAAATGTAAAAAGATACCAAGTACTTAACGTTACTGGCTGAATTTGCAGCCCAAGAAATACAGGACATTTCTATTTGATCAAACAGAGGAGTCATTTAAAACATTCAGGGTTTAAACACTTTATTAAACATCAATTAACATTTGGAACAAGTTTGTCTAGACAATTAACTGCATGTGATCGTGTCAGACAGTGTAAAACAGATGGTTCAAACAACCCTGAAGCTACTTAAGATATCCAGTGATGATGTTAGTGAACAATATAATAATGAATGAGTGGGAGTAATGTCATATAGTTTTGGTCTTTAAAAATGGTCTTTAATCTAACTTTTATTTAATGAGGGCAGTTGATATCTTCTTCTTCACTGCTGCAATCTGTTACATTGTGCCTTCTTCCTCTGTTTCTGTTGGGCTCCTCTTCACTGACACATCACTCCACATACTCACATTGTCTTTTTGTTCGATGCTCCCCTGTCACTCCCCCTTCTCTTTTTGTGAATTATACATTAAAAACCATTCGAAATTGATATACTCCAAACATCTAGTGGCAGCAAATATGCGTCACACAAGCC